AACACTATATATATTATAATAGCAATGGTGGAAACCGAAATCAATAATTATATCAATAAGAAATGCTACGACTGTTGCCACTTCAAAAAGGAAAATATGGAATTATATAAGTTGAATTTACCTAATGGAATAGTTAATAATATTATTGATTATTCTTTGGACGAAGAAAATATATGTAGAACTTGTAGAAGATGGAGACGATATCAAAATATAATAGAAAATTGTTTGGCGTTTAAAAATATAGATGAAAGAAATGTTGAAGATGAAATATTGATATTTTTAACTGTGTATGAAAGACCACCCTACGATTATGTTAAACAGTTTCTTAAAATCAGTAAGAAAAAGTGTGAAATGATTAATGACATATTATGGATGTTGATTTATTATAGTAAACCCGGCGTTGATGTAAAAAAAGTCATAAAATCATATATTGAAAGTGAAAAATTTAATGTTAAAAATACAGTGAGAGATATTAATAATATTTTTAAAATGATGTATGAAAGAGGTAAGATGTATCAATTAAATTATTATCCTGAACTTAAATTATAATCATAATATAATAATAACATGTAAAATATTATATGTTATAATTATATTTCAATATGTAATTGTATTTCTTGTAAAAAAGTATTTAAAGAAATAAACACTATATATATTACAGTGGAAATGTTATTTAATTATTCAAAGTGCGAATGTTGTACAACTAAAAGGAATGATGTTAATATAACATTGTATAAGTTATTACCCGCCAATCTATGTAATAAAATAAGTGACTATGATGTATATTGTAGTCAATGCTGTATAACAAGAGACCTTGAAAAGTTTTTTGTTGAAGAACATAAGGATAAGGGATATACAAAGTTTCAATTACAATTGACATTCTTTATGAGATATCAAAAACGATGTCCTGTATGTTTTTACCATACAATTGCAAGAAAGTCATTTGAAAAAGAAATTGATGAGTTCTTCAATAATAAAGATTTGATTAAAAGGTTTGGAGGGACAAGCGCAATTAAACCATATAAAGCATTTGTTAAAAAATTTCGAGGCATGTTTGATGCGATTGATTGGCATTTATTAAGTAAAGATAAAATAAACAAGGTCTTGAATGAATTTAGAATAACTAAATATCATGTATGGTCTTACTACAACACTAAATATCAAGTATGGCTACTAGTTAATTTGTTTTTCTGGGAATATATTTATTCAATAATAGGAAAAGACAATATCAAATATATAGACATTGGCGATATTGATAAATATGTAGATTACATATTTGAAGACATTTTTCCTGATTATAAATGTAACCCATAATTATTAATCATACTATAATAATAACATTTATACCCTTATATGTTATATCTATAATGTAAGTATAGCGTTTTATATATTGAAGATAAAATCCTACAAGGGACACCACGCCCAAACAAATATATGATGAAACTGATGAAACGAAGGAGGGGGGTGATGTTGTTGCTGTTCTATTTTTTGTCCGAGAAATGGACAAATCGTTTTTAGACAGTTCGAATATTTTTTTGATGACAAACATTTTTTGCAATATATTTTGCAAAATTTATTTTTTTGAAATGGATGAGGTGAGGAGATTGAGGAAATGACATTTTGGAGGGTAGTTGGTGAAACGAATGAGGCGAGGAGAAAGGAGAAAAGGATGGCGAAAATTTTGGAAAAATGATGATAAAAAACGGATGAGATGGACAGAAAGGAATGTAGAAAAATGATGAAAACAAATAAGGGTAGAAGATGGAAGATGAAAAAAAATGTAGGGTGGGGGGTATGTATGAAGCAATGTATTTGCGGGGCAAGGCCCCCGACTACTGATTTCACCCGGCAACACTCACGCGTCGAGCTCGAGCCGACAGGGTCGGAGCCCACCACCCACAAAACCTAGACTCAGTGCAGAAATGCGTGAAGTGCTGAGTTCTGCCCAATGCACTCAGCACTCTGCCCTGTTCGCGCATGAACAATTGAGTGCGATCCAGGTCGCCGAGCTCCCCTTCGCGTGATCTTCCCCACCGTTCCGGCAGCTTTGCTGATGTCATTGCAGAAGCAGGCCTGCGCCCCCAAGCGTCTTGCTTCAGTGAATTGCCTGTCTATGCTGCCAGCCAGGCCTCGAGAGTCAGCAAGATGGACATCAACGTGCGGCCCGCTTCAGCTGTCTACGACTAAAAAAAATTGCACGGGACCGGATTTAGTAGTTTCTCGCAGGATGCGCGCCTGCCTGGCACGCAGGAGCCTTCGCTTAAAGCTGTGCAGATGTTCCAACCCTTCATGTGTGCCTCTTTAGAGAACCAACGACATGTCAGGAGGGCTGCGACGTTGCGGCACCGGACCTGGACGCGGATACGGGGCCTTTGGAGGCCCGGCGCAAGAGCAGCGTCTGCCGAGAGCGCAGTAGCTGAAGTCAAGCTGGCTTTGAGGATGTGAACGCAGCGTTTGAGGACAGTTGCTGCTGTTGCCAGTCAGACACACACTTCGATGTTATTGCACGTGTGTGTGTGTTTTGGTGCCAGAACTAACAGGATGACGCCGATCTTGAAGATCAGGACAGGACAAGGTCAAACACCTCCAGCAACCCACCCTGACATCTGGCGAAAGGCAGCGATTGTATTGCGGCAGGATCTCCCCCCAGATGCTGCAGGCGCGCAGCCTTGGGCCACCGCACGGACACACACACACACGCTCCCACTCCTCGGTAGGAAGATGTGCTGTTGAATGCTTTGCCAGCCAGGGCCCCACTCCGTTCGCAGTGCAGTTCGCGAAGCACTCACTGACTTGCAGTTGTCAGGTTGAACCACAGGCTGCAGAACAGGCAGGAATTGGGTTGCGCTCGGCGACGAGCTTTTGGTGGTTCGCGTAGATGTGCGCTGGAGGCTGACGATGAGCAGGCATTGGAGCGCAAGCGCCGCTCCTATGCCCGGCTTGCGGCGGCTGGTTTGCTACAGAAACCTCCGCCGCCAATGCGCGGGCAGAAGACCTAGTTGCTAGTCTCTTTCGGTCTGAGTTGAGGATGCGTCCGCAGCGTGAAAAAGACTGCAACACTGAGAAGCACTGTCTTGACACAGGGCGAGAGCTCTTCACAGGAAATTGATGTTCGAACGGACCTGCTGACATGTGTAAAAACTTGCAACGAGCAGTCATCAAATATGCGCCACCCCTGACTCAGGTCCGGCAGGCTTAGTTGGGCGTTCAGGTAATCATTTCTAACAGCGCGATCAAACACGTTTGGCTCAAGCTGGCGACCTCAGATACGCGCCTCCTCTCAGATACGCGCCTCCTCTGACTTAGGTCTGGCAGGCTTGGGCGTTCAGATGTTATTTGTGGCCGCGCCATCGTATGGGAAGGGTAGCGCGGCAAGCTTGGGCGTTCAGGTCATCATTTCTGACAGTGCGAGCAGCAAGGTAGGTGCTGGCGACCTCAGATACGCCTCTGACTTAGGTCTGGCCGGCTTGGGCGTTCAGATGTTATTTCTGGCGACTCGATCATGTGGGAAGGGAAGCATGGCAGGCTTGGGCGTTCAGGTCATCGTTTCTGACAGCACGAGCAGCATGTGTGGCTCAAGCCTAGGCGGGCAAGATGCTGAGGCCTCCTCTGGCTTAGGTGTGGCAGGCTTGTCAGGTGATCATTTCTCACAGCAAGATCGAACAAGTTTGGGTAGGAGATGCGCGCCTGCAGGTGATTGCGCTGTAGCACGTTTGGCTCAAGCTTTTGGCCCCATTTTGCACGGGCGTCAGTCTTGGCAGGACTGGGCCCAAACTGAATAGCTGATGCATTTTTTGGCAGACTCGGGCATTGAGGTGATCATTTCTGACAGCCCTATGGAGTCATGCAAGTCCTTGGCAACTGCGCAAAATCCTAAGTGGCTCTTGGACGCGGTGGCACGGAGCAAGTTTGGCTCAAACCCAGGTCGGGTCGTGAGCAGGATGCTGCACGCCGCCCCTGACTTAGGTCTGGCAGGCTTGGGTGTTCAGGTCATCATCATTCTGATAGCGAGATCGAACAAGTTTGGGTAGGATGCCGGCGACATGAGAGGCGCCTCCCCTGTCTCATGTCTCAGGTCTGGCAGGCCTGGGCGTTCAGGTGATCGCGCTGTAGCATGTTTGGCCCAAGCCCTTGACCCCAGTCGTCAACCTCAGCCTATACGTCTGTGTCGCGCAAACGCATGTGTGGTGAGACCGTGTCCGTGTCGTTGTCGCGTAAACGCCCGGGCGGCCACAGCGCGTCTGATGAGACCGTGTCCGTGCGCGTGCGCTGCGTGTTCCTTGTGATAAGCACGTTTTTCCGTGCGCGCGCAGGGCATCTCCCCTCTGATATACACACGTGCGTCAACCCCAGCCTGTACGTCGTTGTCGCGTAAATACGCCCGGACCAGCGCAAAAGAGTAACCGCGCGGCCACAGCACGTCTGATGAGACCGTGTCCGTGCGCGTGCGCTGCGTGTTCCTTGTGATAAGCACGTTAGCCTATACGTCTGTGTCGCGCAAACGCATGTGTGGTGAGACCGTGTCCGTGTCGTTGTCGCTTAAACGCCCGGGCGGCCACAGCACGTCTGATGAGACCGTGTCCGTGCGCGCGCGCTGCGTGTTCCTTGCGATAAGCACGTTTTTCCGTGCGCGCGCAGGGCGTCCGGAACTCGCGAAATGCAGCCCGCCATCGCAAAAGAGTAACCGCGCGGCCGCAGCACGTGTGATGAGACCGTGTGCGCGCGCGCGCCCTGGTTTCCGTGCGCGTGCGTGCGTCTGATATACGCACGTTCGTCAACCCCAGCCTAAACGTCGTTGTCGTGTAAACGCCCGGGCGGCCACAGCATGTTTGATGAGACCGTGTCCGTGCGCGCGTGTTCCTTTTGATGCACACGCTTCTCACTAAATGCAGCCCACAGTGCATTACGTTTTTTCTTGATGGTCAAAAAAGTTTTTTTTGATTGCTAAAAATAGTTTTTTTGATTGTCAAAAAGTGTTTTTTTATATCCTTCCCTGCCAGGCGTTGTGCAGCAAGGCGCGTCTCTTTGCGCAGCTTGCCTTTATTCTGAGCGGATTTCTGCTCGAAGAAGTGCACCTACAGGATCGAAATGCCTTAAAATAGTTGCCGTTTTCAATAAAGTACCCTTTTTGCATTTCCGGGTAGGTTTTAGCCTTTCGGCCATTCTTCAGCTGGCATTTTGAGCAGGATTCTTGCATTGTTTCTGTTGGCGGCTATCGCGGCAAAGCTGTCCGCCATTCCGGCGGTACTGGCGACTAGTAATATCCACCGTGAGCCGCGATCCAATTCCGGGCGTTGTTTTTCCGATTCCGGCTAATCTTGAAATGTGATGATGTCAGATTCCAGCTGACATTTTGGCCAAAAGAGTTCTGGGTATGTTTTCCTTGTTGCCTTGTTCCATCGAATCTTCCTCCGGAAAGTGAGCAACTGCACACCCGCATTGTTGTTTATTTGCTAGGTGCCAAGGTAGGGTGGCCAACAGAGCCGGGTGCTCACAGCCCATTGTTGGGCTCCGTGTTTCTTCGAGTTGCTCAGTTGCTCAGTTTCTTCAAGTTGCGAAGGCTACCTGTGCGCTTTGCATTGCTAAGGCTCAAGTGGCTGGTGCACTGGAGGCAGTTTCTGTGACGGCAGGTTGTGGCGGTGTGTCTTTGATGGCATCAGTGGCATCGAGTGCTTTGAATGGAGAGGATACCGCAGGCGCCATGGAGGCTTGACCTGATTGAGGAATGCTTTGGCCTAAGTATGATTCAGGCTCATCGTTCCCCAGAATTCGACGCTTTTTGACAGGTTTGCAAGCTCGACTGTTCTTGGCCCTGCTTGCTCAGGATGCCGGCATGCAACAGTTGGCAGACAAGCTGCGACAAACGAAAGAAGACATCGAGAGCCAGATCATGCAATCTACCGCAAAGCTCCTGAACGCTGTCACAACTGCGGAGCAGCACTTGTCGCAAAATTCCCAGGAAAAGCGACAGTACCTGATGGAAGATGTCGCAACCTTCGTCACCAACCTCAAGAGTGGCCGCAAGATGCCGGACTTGTACTTGGACATGCAAAAGATGCAGCACAGGTTCAACAAGACAGGTCTGGAAAACTACTTGCGGGACTTGAAGGGCGCGGGCGTCTCGCCAGATCAGATTTTGACCGCAGCGGCAGCCTTTCTTGCGACGCGCGCCAAAATCATGCTCCTGCAGGGTTCCGCAGCCGCTTGGGCTGCAAATTTGCGCCCCAGATGTGAACCATCATTCAGTAATTCTTCCCATGCGCGAAAGTAAGGTGCGAAACACAGATGAAGTCAAGCGGGCCGCCGCGGACTTCCAGAGCGACATAGAAGGTATGAAGAAGGTGTTGGCAGACTTTCAGGCGTGGTCGAAGGGCATGAGCAATTTTCGCGACGGCCTGCCTGCTTTTTGTTTGCATCGGTTGTGCGCACGCTCACACGCACAATCACGCACACACACGTTGTGGATTCAACGCTTGCGCGTTGCTTGGGGCATGCGCGAACACGTTCAGACATTTGTGCAAGACCGACAGGTGCCGACCGTTGAGAGATGTTGGTATGCACAGGGTCAGGCTGTTTAGGTAGGCGGTGCGCGTCAGTGTATGTGTGGCAGTTGAGTCTTCTACGGTCCCAGATTCAAAGCTTTCCAGGGTTGTAAAGGAACATAAGGAAAGAGGACATGTCATATAGTGCACGCGCGGAGGCATGCGTAGGCAGTTTGAGCAACATAATCAGGGTCTTTCGCGTAGGCGCTGCGTCGGCTGGAACGAATGAGGTCAACATTTGCTTGTTGAATTAGTCATCGGGCTTTTGCATTTGTTGGCAAACGGAGGGTTGCGGCTCACTTGTTCTTTCTCGAGTCTCTTTGCTCTTCTCTTTCACGTTGCTTTTTTTTCTTGTTTTTATTTTTAGCCTTTGTCTTGTTCTTTTTTTATTCAAGTCAAATATGTGCTGTTTGCCCTTCCCTTTTTTGTGCGCCCCATAGTTCTACTTTCACCGACTTTGCAGTGCCTGCTGCGTCAGCTCTGTCCAGAACAGCCGCTTTCCGCGTCTCTGCGCGGGCCCTGCCAGGGCATTCGCGTAGCGGCCAGATTTTCTGACCGGTCCCTTTCGCAGCCCAGGCTCACAGACTCAGACCGCGAATGCGGTGGCTTGAGAGATTTTGCTGTCTGCCATTAGGGCTGGATCTGCCCATCTGCGTGTAAGTGATTCACCCTCTCAAATGCAACAGAGTTGTACCGAAAGCACACCGCGTTGGCACTTTCAGCTCAAAACTTCAACGGCGTAGGTGCATGTAGTCTCGCGCAGGCCGCCCCCCCAGGAATTCGAATGCCGGCGCAGGCGTAGGCATGGGCAAATGGCCTCGCATTGCCTTGTTACAACGACATTCCACAGATGGATCCACCGGTCGATCCGCAGCTTGGCCATGCAAGCTGGTTCTGCCCGCGCATGCCAATGACGATTCCTCTGACGGCAAAGCTTTTCACGTTCCATGGCCGCAGATCAGCCATTCGCCTCACCAGGCCAGTGTTTACAGATTGTTTGCCAGGTTAGAGATGCCTCTTCATGATGGTTCGACGGGGCGCCTGGTTCTGCAAACGCACCTGTGGCATGTGCATGTCTTGTTTCATGTCCTGGGGCATCTTGACTTTATTGTTTTTGCCTGCCTTTCTGCAGCTCTTTGCTTTTGTCCTTCTGATCCCGCGTGCTTCTGATCTCACAGGGCATTTCCACATCGAGGGGGCCACCGATGAGCATGGCAGCTTTAGTGCTACAGCGTTTTTCGGCGGCTTCCTCAGCTCTAGCCATGCATCGTTGAATCTACGCATGTGGCTGCAATTGTTGCACGGTCATGCTGCCATGCTGCAAGTTTCCTACTTCCAACCTTCAGATTCTTGCATTCGCAGTTGCGAGAAAGAGGCTTGCGCCAAAAGAAAACACAGCTGCACGTCAGAGACAAATGCACCGATTGTGGTTGGATGGCTGGTGGTCTGACAGTCTCGAAGCTCAAAGTTGGCTGCAGTTGATCATGCGGACCAGTGGCATGATCAAATCAGCCGCTGGCATTCCGCCGTCGCAAAGCCTAAAGATGCCTAGATATGCATAAAGAAGTTTTAGACTGGAGGGCATGCTTTTGGCCAAATGTGCGACTGCAGCTTTGGCCTCTCGTGGGAGTCCTTGGTCCGTTGTGCGGATGCGAGGATCCTTTTGGGAGCAAAGTCCCCAATCACTGCTCGGCGAGTCCGACCACCTGACTCTCTCCAATAACAGCTTTCGCCTGCGTATTCCGATAATCTCATGCATTTTTGGAGCCCCCACATGTTCCAATGGTCCCGCCGTGTTCTGCCGGACCGCGAGCAATCCCCTGCAAAATGAAACTGCAACGATTGCTACAGCGGACCCTGGGCTTAAAGGCAACGGATTTTGGACTGTCATGCAAACGCTGCAGTGCTGCGGTATTGGCCCCGAAGTTCCTGAAGAGGTCCGATGTGCTGATGAGCAGGTTTTACACGGTGCTTTGCTGGTTGGTTTCGACAATTTCTGGATCAAGGGTTGCAGCGCAAACCTGTGTTTGCGCATTTTTGCACCTACCTTTTCAATTTCCAGGTTCTGCCGGAACAGTTGCCCCTTCTGAAGGGTTTGCCGTCGCGCTGCGGGCCACGGGTCAGTGGGGCGCTTCTGCACGGCGCCAGGACCTGAGGCTCACACACACCCTCGCCGATGCGGACGATTGGATCCTGTCCGTGGCCTGGGCGCCCGACGGCCGCCTCGCGGTGGGGGGTAATGACAACAAAGTCCGAGTTTATGACGAGGCGGGCTCGGGAGGGCTCGGTGGCTGGTTTCTTTCGTATTGTGCCACGTCGCTGGTGCTGTCATTTCTTCCTAGATGTGAAGAGCCTTGTTGCTGCTGGCCATTGACCGCTAGCAATCCCCTGCAAAATGAAACTGCAACGATTGCTACAGCGGACCCTGGGCTTAAAGGCAACGAATTTGGGACTGTCATGCAAACGCTGCAGTGCTGCGGTATTGGCCCCGAAGTTCCTGAAGAGGTCCGATGTGCTGATGAGCAGGTTTTACACGGTGCTTTGCTGGTTGGTTTCGGCAATTTCTGGATCAAGGGTTGCAGCGCAAACCTGTGTTTGCGCATTTTTGCACCTACCTTTTCAATTTCCAGGTTCTGCCGGAACAGTTGCCCCTTCTGAAGGGTTTGCCGTTGCGCTGCGGGCCACGGGTCAGTGGGGCGCTGCACGGCGCCAGGACCTGAGGCTCACACACACCCTCGCCGATGCGGTCATGTCCGTGGCCTGGGCGCCCGACGGCCGCCTCGCGGCGGGGGGTCTTGACCACAAAGTCCGAGTTTATGACGAGGCGGGCTCGGGAGGGCTCGGTGGCTGGTTTCTTTCGTATTGTGCCACGTCGCTGGTGCTGTCATGTCTTCCTAGATGTGAAGAGCCTTGTTGCTGGCCATTGACCGCTAGCAATCCCCTTCAAAATGAAACTGCAACGATTGCTACAGCGGACCCTGGGCTTAAAGGCAACGGATTTTGGACTGTCATGCAAACGCTGCAGTGCTGCGGTATTGGCCCCGAAGTTCCTGAAGAGGTCCGATGTGCTGATGAGCAGGTTTTACACGGTGCTTTGCTGGTTGGTTTCGGCAATTTCTGGATCAAGGGTTGCAGCGCAGCCTGTGTTTGCGCATTTTTGCACCTACCTTTTCAATTTCCAGGTTCTGCCGGAACAGTTGCCCCTTCTGAAGGGTTTGCCGTCGCGCTGCGGGCCACGGGTCAGTGGGGCGCTGCACGGCGCCAGGACCTGAGGCTCACACACACCCTCGCCGATGCGGACCATTGGATCTGGTCCGTGGCCTGGGCGCCCGACGGCCGCCTCACCGCGGGGAGTCGTGACCACAAAGTCCGAGTTTATGACAAGGCGGGCTCTGGAGGGCTCGGTGGCTGGTTTCTTTCGTATTTCGCTGGTGCTGTCATGTCTTCCTAGATGTGAAGAGCCTTGTTGCTGGCCATTGACCGCTAGCAATCCCCTTCAAAATGAAACTGCAACGATTGCTACAGGGCTTAAAGGCAGCGGATTTTGGACTGTCATGCAAACGCTGCAGTGCTGCAGTATTGGCCCCGAAGTTCCTGAAGAGGTCCGATGTGCTGATGAGCAGGTTTTACACGGTGCTTTGCTGGTTGGTTTCGGCAATTTCTGGATCAAGGGTTGCAGCGCAAACCTGTGTTTGCGCATTTTTGCACCTACCTTTTCAATTTCCAGGTTCTGCCGGAACCGTTGCCCCTTCTGAAGGGTTTGCCGTTGCGCTGCGGGCCACGGGTCAGTGGGGCGCTGCACGGCGCCAGGACCTGAGGCTCACACGCACCCTCGCCGATGCGGACGATTGGATCATTTCCGTGGCCTGGGCGCCCGACGGCCGCCTCGCGGTGGGGGGTAATGACAACAAAGTCCGAGTTTATGACGAGGCGGGCTCGGGAGGGCTCGGTGGCTGGTTTCTTTCGTATTGTGCCACGCACGTCGCTGGTGCTTTCAGCGCTGTCTTGAAGCATATTGCACCTGTATTGCCTCACGTGGCTTCATCAGGATTCTGTAGTGTTTCTTGTCTACGCCGGGCGTGTAATTACTTTCATCGAAAGTCGCTAGCCGGTCAGCGGGGATGCTCTTGTGTTTGCGATCTGTCATTCTGGCTTCTGATCTTACGGATCATCAGCGCAGATAATATTAACCAAGTTGCTTTCAACAGAGTGCCGCAAACTGCCAAGAAAATGCGCGGCGACTCGGATGGCTTCCTTGGGATTCGGGAAATGCCGCCTGGCTGCAAGGGTGGGGCGACCAAGCTGTGGCCACGGGTCAGTGGGGCGCTGCTGCACGGCGCCAGGACCTGAGGCTCACACACACCCTCGCCGATGCGGTTTTCGAAATCCATTTCGTGGCCTGGGCGCCCGACGGCCGCCTCGCGGCGGGGGGTGATGACAACAAAGTCCGAGTTTATGACGAGGCGGGCTCGGGAGGGCTCGGTGGCTGGTTTCTTTCGTATTGTGCCACGTCGCTGGTGCTGTCATGTCTTCCTAGATGTGAAGAGCCTTGTTGCTGGCCATTGACCGCTAGCAATCCCCTTCAAAATGAAACTGCAACGATTGCTACAGCGGACCCTGGGCTTAAAGGCAACGGATTTTGGACTGTCATGCAAACGCTGCAGTGCTGCGGTATTGGCCCCGAAGTTCCTGAAGAGGTCCGATGTGCTGATGAGCAGGTTTTACACGGTGCTTTGCTGGTTGGTTTCGGCAATTTCTGGATCAAGGGTTGCAGCGCAACCTGTGTTTGCGCATTTTTGCACCTACCTTTTCAATTTCCAGGTTCTGCCGGAACCGTTGCCCCTTCTGAAGGGTTTGCCGTTGCGCTGCGGGCCACGGGTCAGTGGGGCGCTGCACGGCGCCAGGACCTGAGGCTCACACACACCCTCGCCGATGCGCATTTCGCCATCATGTCCGTGGCCTGGGCGCCCGACGGCCGCCTCGCGGCGGGGGGTGATGACCACAAAGTCCGAGTTTATGACGAGGCGGGCTCGGGAGGGCTCGGTGGCTGGTTTCTTTCGTATTGTGCCACGTCGCTGGTGCTGTCATTTCTTCCTAGATGTGAAGAGCCTTGTTGCTGCTGGCCATTGACCGCTAGCAATCCCCTGCAAAATGAAACTGCAACGATTGCTACAGGGCTTAAAGGCAACGGATCTTGGACTGTCATGCAAACGCTGAAGTGCTGCGGTATTGGCCCCGAAGTTCCTGAAGAGGTCCGATGTGCTGATGAGCAGGTTTTACACGGTGCTTTGCTGGTTGGTTTCGGCAATTTCTGGATCAAGGGTTGCAGCGCAAACCTGTGTTTGCGCATTTTTGCACCTACCTTTTCAATTTCCAGGTTCTGCCGGAACCGTTGCCCCTTCTGAAGGGTTTGCCGTTGCGCTGCGGGCCACGGGTCAGTGGGGCGCTGCACGGCGCCAGGACCTGAGGCTCACACACACCCTCGCCGATGCGGATTTCGCCATCCATTTCGTGGCCTGGGCGCCCGACGGCCGCCTCGCGGCGGGGGGTGATGACCACAAAGTCCGAGTTTATGACGAGGCTCGAGGGGGCGCTGTGCAATCTTTTTCTGGTTGAATGTGCCCTGAAACTGCCTCATTTGCCGACCATGTTTGAGGCCTATTTATAGTTCTCGAATTTTGGGATTTGGTTGGCCGTGGGCTCACTCACTAGAATCGTTTTCGCCCATTGCCTGCGTGCGCAAGGACAATTTTGCTTCTTCCGCTTTCGTCCTGCTTGGGAATGCAAACTGATGCAGGTCATCAGTCTTCCGTAAACAAAGGTTCTGCCGACTTACAGCGCCGCTGTTGCCAAGCGTGGGATGCGTGGCCTGCGATCGCATTTAGTTTATTTTTTGGGTTTCGTTGGTTTTCAGCTGGAAAAATAAGAGCAACGGCAAGTTGCTGTTGACATCAGTTGGCAGGAGCTGTACTACAACCCGCTGAAGCAAGGGTAATTTGAAGGACTGACATTGCATCGATTTCACAAAATTTCGCCTGCGGGGAGGACTGCCTCCCCCTTCACATGTTGAAGAGGCAGTGGTTTTGTTTGCAGAACATTCTGCAGCCATCGGATACAGCAATGAAACAAGGTTGTTGAGACGTCTCTGACGCTGCAGGCGAAACAACAGCTTGGCCAGCCAACTGGGGCTAGTGATCTGCCTGGACGGTTCGCTTCCACACAGGGCATTGTCAAAAGCATGGAGGGCGCATGAGTTCATGAATCGGTGCTTTATTGGGGGAGACTGTTCCAGTGGCAGCGCCCAGCTTTTCTCCAGTACGTTTTCACGCCTCTCTGTGCTAAATCAAAAAGCCGATTGGATTAATCACCTTGAAGGCCGGCAAAGGCCTGCCAGCTGCCTTGCTGAGCTGAAGCGATGTCCCTTCAAACAAGGGAAGAAGGGGTACTGTGGATGGTTACACAGTCCCTTCAAGCACCAGTTGGGATGGATGGAACCCTATGAATACTGGGATTAACCACTAACCACCACTCCCAACTGGTGCGAAAGGATTTTGTCCACCCAGAGTAGGGCTGCAGAGGCGTTTGTCGCCTCCGCCTTGCCGGCTGGATTGCGCTGCTGTAGGCCTGAGGAGAGCGGGGAAAAATGAGCATGGCCAGTTTGCAACCCAACTCCCCGACCGATTCTGCCAGGTTGGCAACTGATGCCTGCCGGTCGATTCAGCATATTTGCGTGGTTGACATTGTGCCGGAGAGTTTCCGCTAGGCGTTGTTATGGAACCGTCCCGCCAAAGTACTTCTCAGGGGATAGGCCTGTCAAGCGCAAAGATGCAACAAAGCTTGAGACGACCCTGGTGTCATCCATCAGCCCCCCAACAACTGCTTCTCCAATTTCCAAAACCCCAAGTGCTGTCCAGAAAGCAGTTGAGGGGTGGATGGCGTCATCTTTTGTCAGCCCTACGCATACCCGCCCACCAGCCCACTTCGGCTCCCGGAAAGCAAAATCAGGCTGTGTAAACAATGGTTCCAAACGTGTTTCAACAGGTGCCCTAGCCTTAATTACGTCAACTCCCTTCGCTGCCACAGGCCGTGATGCCACAGCTGACTCCGGCAAGCGCGCGGAGCGAAGCGCAGGCGGAGGGTTTGGCCTCGGGCTGAGGGTCAAATAAGGGGCTGGTTTTCCAGACTGTCCCCAGAAGGAATTCAACAGGTGAGGAAACCAAGATGAAACCAACGTCACAAGTTGGCCTGAAAGGGCGAGCTTCGCAGACTCTGTGGTGGATGGGCTGTGAGGGGGAGGGGTGTGACCTCAGCGCCAGGTTGATGAGGTATGACATTGTTAGCGACAGGAAATGGTTTCGATGCCTGGTAAGGGTCATTTTACTGGCCCAATTGACGTCAGATACTGCGCAATTTCTCACTTTGCATCTGATGCTTTGGGGGGGGGCTTGGAAGGCCCGCCTTGTGTGGCCAAGGCAGGCAGAACATGAAACACTATTTTCACGCATTTGGGTTGGTGGGTGTCTTGATTTGAAGCGTTGGCCCTGTTGGGAGCCCAACTGGCACTCCAGTTTGCACCAGTTCGGCACCCCTGCTTCTGCCTCCTTGGAGTCATCGAGAGGCACTGGTTTGCGTTCTTGCGTGCTCGCTTACTTGCTTGCTTGCTTGCTTGCTTGCTTGCTCGCTTACTTGCTTGCTTGCTTGCTTGCTTGCTCGCTTGCTTGCTTGCTTGCTTGCTTGCTTGCTTGTTTATCTAAGGCCGGTCGAATCTAGGGCTGATTCCTGATGTCTTTTTGAGTCAGAGTCCCTGGCTGTTTCCTTTCCAGGGGTTGGATAAATCCGACGGCGCTTGTGAGGGGGCAATCCCCCCTCTAGCGGGGAATCGCTCCATTTTATGGGGATCCCTCCGGCTGGCATTGTCCTCCGATTGAATTCGAAATCACATTACCCTTTTCATGACAGCTGACAAGAGGGTTTTGGAAGACTACCGTGTTTTGAAGAGCCCTCTGTTTTCTTCTATGATTGGAAAGAGGGTTATAACTCGTTTCTGCCCCAGTCTCTCACAGCGCCAGGTGGAAGAAGAGACATGGAACAACTCCAAGGCCGAGGCCAGTCACCTGCACAGGGTGATTGTCGCATGTGCCGTGTTCATGAACCCAACTGTGGGAGTGTGTGGCGAGACATGCATGAAACCACCCAAGCAAATGCGTTCCAACATTTCTATGAACCCAACGTGGGGTACTTTTGCAATGAACCCTGAAACCAGCCACTGGAGGAGGCCCTGGTTTTGGCTCATTTGCGCAAGGCGCCGCAACACAAGTTGCCAGCGTGGAATAGGTGCCTTAGCTTGTTTCGTTTGGCCAACCGGGGTAAGATGTGGGTTTTTCAATGGCAAGGGTATGCAAGGGTGTTGCCAACTCCAGTTTAGTTTTGCTTGAAGACGCCTTGATTCATCCCCACCTCGCCCAATCAAAGTATTGTGTGTGTGTGTGCGACTGGTTGCTTTGTTACAGGTGGCTGCGCCCTACAGCAAGACATGTATTTCATTTGGGGGGGTGCCCTTTGCCAGCTGGGAGGGGCAAACTTCATTGTTGAAGCGCCCTTCTGTTGTTGTTGGGTGCCAAGCATGCATAACGCAGTCGACCCTTGTTTCAGCAGGCAGGCATTCAAGAGAAAGTCCTCTTAGCCCTGAACTGGCAGATGATGCGCTGGGAGCGTGCGCGCGTGAGCCATGGCAAGCAACCTCCACCGGCGGTCTTTCCAGGGGATGGCTGGCCGTCCAAACATAAACATGCATGATCGAATGTTGATTGACGCAACGTGTCGCAGAGGTGCGGGTTGCGGCATGAATCTCACTTCGCCATGGGTTGGATGTGCACTTGGTAAAAGCAAATGAAATCATAACACATCCATTTGTGGGAGAGGTTTCTCCAAGTAATTATCCTTTGGGAAGGGTTGTTATGTTCACCATCGTCTTGTTTTTTGAGAGTATCACTTTGAGTGAAACGCGGAATTTCATGATTGCCCTTTGGCAAGGATGCATGTTTTGCATTTTAACTACCTCTGCGCGGTCATGAGGTGTCAGGGTGTGTCCCAACCATGCATTGCATGGAACCGGGGGTACCCCCAATGAAGATGATGAAGTTGTTTTTTCAGGTTGGTGAGTTCTAGCAATGAGAACCCAGGACAAAGCGCATTAGGTAGGGGGGGGTCACGCCTGGAATTCTGTTTATAGTTCAATTCCCCCTTCCCGGGCGAGGGCTAGCATGGAAATTGGTGACCCCCCTCCCCCCTTAAGGATCTTCAAGGTAGGGGGGTGCGTTAGCTTTGGCTCAAGGTGTGCGACCTCAGCCCTGACCTACGCTTGAACAAGTCAGGGGATGGCTTCCTGCAAAGTACCAGGGAACTGAACAACAACATGTTTGAATATGGGTGTGTGCCTTTTTGAGGGTCTCCTTTTTGGGGCTCGTTTAAAGGGAACCAAAAGGACAGCCACCACTTTTGGGGTACCCCTGTTGTGACACACACACACATATTTTTAGAGGACTCTCCGTTTTAGGGACCCCACTTCTTGGGTAACATGTGAGTTTGCAGCGTTGTATGCTCTTCGAAAAATTTGCCAAGTTTGTGCAGGGCAAGACCCTTCAATTTGCGGGTGCCTGCGGCTTGGGTGTGCCTGTGTGTGTGTGTGTTGTGTCTGTGTGTGTGTTTGTGCGTCTTTGTGTGTGTGTGTGTCTTGTAATGTGATGTAATGTAATGTGATGTAATGTAATGCGATGTGATGTAATGTACGTACGTATGTATGCATGTATGTGTTCGCATCTGTGCATTTGTGTTTGTGCGCACGTGTCCAGGGAAGCAGGTTTTTTTGTGAGACTTCCAGACTTTCCTGCGCTTGTAAGGGGCAGGTGCCCTTGGAGTCTCGCAGGCAAACACCCGTTGACGTGGCTGGGCCCTTGGATTGCCAGGCCTCCCTCGACCAGAACATGCTGGACTTGGTGGACCCCTATAACAAAGGCGGGCAGTACGTGCCAGATCTGGACTGCGCGCTTGTCATTGTTTGTGATGACAAAAGCCTCGCAAGGAAATTTTGCGACCTCCATGATGGAGAGTCCTGTCATAGGGGGCCCTTTGAATCGGGGGTCACGCCTCAGGTCGACGCCGATTTTGTCGAACGCAATTTGTGCAGGGCCTTTGTCGGGCCTTATAAAATGGGTTGAGCAAAAGATCCCGCCATTTTGTACAGGCTACATGTCTCTTGTTTTTTCAGATTTGTATTGAGGGTCATGTTGAGAGACTATGCCTGGTTATGTCGCTTTGTAGTCACGCTGTAGGCATGAGGTTTGGTTAGTGTGGCATGTTGTAGGGATAGAGCTTGTGTTTCATGCATGTTTCGTATAACGTGGGCGCCCATGCGACTTGAAACATTGGTAGGGCCGGGTAGGGCTCAGAACCAACGCGCCCACTACAAAATGAATTTTGGATTTGAAGCCGGCTCCAATGACAAAGATCTCTAGCTTCAAAATTACAGCATTTGTTTTGTGACCACTGGGGGAAAACAAGAAAGATCCTCGCCCGAACGCAGTCATTTTGCAGGCAGCTGCCCTCGCACCCCGTGCCCCCTGCCATCGTAGACTCTTCAGCCGACCCCTAGTTCTATACTACAAAGGGCTGTTCCAACCCCACCTCCCAAATGCAAAGAGGGATGCCTTTTGTTGTTTAGTGAAGTACAGGAGTTTACTCCAGGCAAGGGATTCTTCATTAGCGTGGGTTTTTGCCTAGCCCGCTGACATCCCCCAACCAACTGTCCAAGTTGGCTAGCATGCCGAGTTCCAAGACCATTTCAAGTAAGACTATTCCTGGCATCTTTCTGGAACCGTTCAAGTGGTTGAGCCTCTATTTCGGCCATGCCTATGCACTGGCAAGGCGTGGTGCGTTACGCGGCTGTGGGAGGCCTAGGTGCAGGGCAACCTAAGCCAGGGTCCGCATAATTAATGTTGGCGCTTGATTATGAGCGGCCACCCCGGCCTCCCCCCCAGCAGCAAGCTTAAGCCAAGATCTTTTGGGCACTTTCTGATACAAGGTCTTCGGGAGTTTTGCCTCCTCCCCTAACTATATAACAATTTTGACCTCACAGCCCCATTTGGGGGGGGAGGGGGTTTCCTTCATATTATGTTTTTTACACAGCAAAACGTTCACTCCAAGCCCCAAGCTCCGAGCTAGTGGCTGGCCTGCCACATGGATCCGCTGGGCGAATTGCATTTGGTTTCTATCAGCTTTTCTCAGGAGATCTTGAGAGCTCGGCTTGTGAATCCCCGGGGCCCGAAGCTGGCTCCCAATCTGCCGTTTTTTTGGGGACATTGAACTCACACAGGCCGCTGTTGAATTGGAAGTGCCATTGGTTACCCAGTCCAAATTTGGCAAATCCCATGTGCCATACGGTCCTAGGATCGGGTAGCTTGCTCTCGAGGTAGAGCTGCGTGATGTTGCCAGGGGTCTTAGGTCCTGTTTAAACATCGCCCCAACGGAAATGTAGTCAAAAGGTGGTGTTTGACCTTGAGCCCAAGGGACATGTAGTCAAAAGATCACGTTTGGCCCCCCAACCTCCAAGGGAAATGTAATCAAAAGGTGATACCCCAAGCCCCAAGCCAAGGGACACGTAAGCCGCTGAGGATTCATTACAACGGGCGCCCAGCGACCATCTTAGAAAAGGTGCAGAGCTTGGGGGCCTATCCGCAGCAGGCAGGGCTTTTCGTCAATCCGAAACCCGGGTCGGCCTGCGCGTTTGCTTAGGTGCCAGGGGCGGTTGGTGGATTCACCCTTTTAAGTCAGTGATGGGTCCCCCGCTGAAAGTGGTCAACCACAACAGGGGTTCTTTTTTTTTAGCCAGGGTTCAACTATGCAAATGGAACTTGCCCCAGCTGTTCTCTTGCTACTTGAAGCGTACCAAGCTTCCATTTTATTAAGAGTTGCCTTTCTGTTCACCTGTTTGTTTTAAAGGGAACCTATCACTACTGGACATATGCTTGTTTGGCCAGAAGGCTTAAGCAAATGCAGCTAAGTTGGTAAGGATAGCTGGGGAAATGCTTTCCCGGCCGTGATGGTTCCTCAAGCGTCGTAAGTTGGGGAATGCGATTGCAGGACAAGTCCGAGGGCGTGTTTCTTATGTCTTGGGCTTGCCATGTATTGTCACAGCTCTTGCCTTGGAAACCCTGAGATGGCTACCGCACCCTGGGAAAACACCAGCATTTGGGACCAGGCCCCCGATTGTGGGGTGAGATCCAGCTGTTGCGGGGTGAGCAGTGTGCCAAGCCGCGGGGTGAGATGTTGGTCCGTGGGGTGTGAAACCACTCGTGGTAGTAGGCAGAAAGTTGCTGGGTAGGAAGCCTCAACGGCCTGAGCCGCCTCAAGGTTGGACCGCCGACCCGAGGCCCGCCGGCGGTCGGGCCCGAGGCTTACGCCAGCCCGAGGTGGCCAAAAGGTTGCTTGACACCCCAGCCATTGTTGCGTCGGGCGATCTCGCTTCAGGATATTTGTCCATCAAGGTTGAAGTTCCGGCTGGTGCAGAATGTGACCCGCACATTTGCGCAGCCAATGTTTTGCAGACAAAATCTCGGCAGCGATGCATGTGTAACAACAAACGATCAGTGTCTGGGGTCTACGCTGGGGGGCCTCACTCCAAGTTGATCCCCAATCTGGGCGCGCGATTCCCGACCAAGAATTCGAGCGCCCGCCAGGCGAGCGCCGACGATGCCGAGGACACGGTGGAGAGTCAGGCGCGGGGGGCGCCAAGCAATGCAGACTGTCCCTAGCTTCATTCCCGAAACCATTGAATCCCTTTGAGAACCAGCAAATCAAACTTCTTCCAGTCAGAATGTGGGTTGACCCACTCAGAACGAGCGAATCATGCTTCTTCCAGTCAGAATGCGGGTTGACCCACTCAGATATTGAACCCAACTAGCAAGCATGAAGCTATCCCCCCAAACCCCTAAAAGCATCGGAGTGACTTTGTTCCGACTAGATAAGTGGAAGCTGAACCCCTAAAAGCATCAGAATGCCTTTGGTTCCGACTAGATGTGTAAAAGCTGAACCCTAAAAGCATCGGAATGCCTTTGTTTCCAACTAGATGAGTGGAAACTGAACCCCTAAAAACATCAGAATGACCCCCTAAAAGCATCAGAATGCCTTTGTTTCCGACTAGATAAGTGGAAACTGAACCCCTAAAAACATCATAATGTCTTTGTTTCCAACTAGCCAAGTGGAAACTGAACCCCTAAAAACATCAGAATGCCTTTGTTTCCAACTAGATAAGTGGAGGCTGAACCCCTAAAAGCATCAGAATGACCCCCTAAAAGCATCAGAATGCCTTTGTTTCCGACTAGATAAGTGGAAACTGAACCCCTAAAAGCATCATAATGTCTTTGTTTCCGACTAGATAAGTGGAAACTGAACCCCTGAAAGCATCGAAATGTTTTTGTCGCTCAAGAATGCATGCACTAGCGTTTTGTTGGGTGGTCGAGCTGGAACTCGTAGGCAACGAGTCAAGGGGTTCTTATTGGTTTCTGAAGAATTCATTCGGTCAGTTTGGGGGTTTAACATCTATTGCATCCGCAGTGTGGCTGTTCAAGCGAGAAAATGTGCGAGCAGCGCACTTGGACGGTTTGTTGTTTCCTTTTGGGCCCCAAGCCGGTAACCCTTGAATCTATAGGTTATCAGCCGTAGGCCCCTAGCTCAAAGCAATGGACGGTTCCCTTGTACCAGTTGACGGATCCAACATGCCCGTGGACGCAGCCGGAGTTAGCTCCGACCACGCCGCCGGCAACGGTGCGCGAATGTTCGCGTCAAGCGCTAATGCGCAACACAACCGTACCCTGATGAATTCCCTCCAACTGTACAATACCGCAATATTTGCTTTTGGGAATGATGCAGCCATTAGGTCTGATGCCGAAGCCCTGCATCAAGCAGCTGCAACGCATTTGCATGCGGAAAGCCGTGAGGAGCTCCGTGTCGCACAGAAGCAGCTGCATGCACATTACGCTGAGCGCGTGCAAGCCCAGTCGCATAGGATTCGTGAGTGCGAACAGCGAGTGAGCGATGAGTTCCACCTAGAAGTGAACCACGCTGAAGCTAGGATAAGCCATATGTGTGAGGAAAACGCCCAAGCATTGCATGAAGTGGAGATGAGACGTAAAACAGGTGAGTTTAGGCAAGCCATTGAAACCACCCTAGCAGATGCTCAGCAGCTCCTTCAGGAGCAAGCCGCAAAGCATGCTGATGATATCGCACGTGTCGAAGCGACCAACGCTAGGAATGTTGACATGATGGCCGCTCGACGAGCTCAACCAGCAACTGAAGCGACACGACCTCCGCGAGGAGAGATCGAAGCCCAAAGGGGCAGGCGATACCCGAGAGGATTCGCCAGAACTGATGACCGATGACATGAAATCGGCTCGGTCACAAAAGTCCATTTTGGACCCGTTGTCCAATCCATTTCAATATGCAAAGGAAAAGTTGAGGTCACCTGTCACTAATGATGGCTATGAAGCTGAGTATTCTCCCAGCATAATGCGGTCCGCAGGGACCTGCTGAGAAGCCATCAGGTAGTGGTTGGTCCCCGACCAAAACAAGTGCCGCCCCTGCAATTCTCCCAGGGGCCAATGCCAACTGACCGCAAGCAGGGTGGAAAGCCCCCTGGCGGTCCGCCGCCCGGTGATGATGGGAATGGCGACGGTGAAGTCGACGAGGACGAGGGTGACGGCCTTGGGCCCAACCTCGGCCAAGAAGCCTTCGCTAAGATGCTCATGAAGTTGGTAAAGGGTCACACGAGCGACGAGAAACCCAGAACTCGCGAAAGCGAGATGTTGCGTTTCAAGGAGATGCCAACTCCTGAAACGCACCGTGAGTGGAAAACGTCACTCTTTTCACTCTTTTCAATGCGATGTCCCGGCGTGGCGTCAATTGCGTGCGGCTGGTCGCCTACACCAAAACAAATAAAACTCATCCACGAAGCCACCGGAGCAGGGTGCTCGACGGTGCTTGAACATGCAGGTTTGCTTGCATCGCGGCAGGAGGCAAATGACGGGCATCCTCCGTGCCTCGCCGCATGGCTCCGAGTGGCAGCTGTTGCCGGAACCAAGCTTCGACTGATTGGTGGCGCTCCTGTTGCAATGGGACGCACACACAAGGCAGCCAAGAGCAAAGTACGTCGCTGTCCGGTCTGGCAAGGGAAGTGGAAACACTGACCCCTTGCTCTTGTAGCAGATGGCGCAAAGCTCTACGGAACCATGTTACTCGCTGCCTGAAGGCGAAGGGCACAAGGAATGCATTGCGATGGGTTGGTTCACCCCACTCTCCTGTACTCGGCAAACGCGCAGGCCCGTGTAGCCCGGTTGCTTGTTGGAACGAGACAAGGAGTTACATGAAGGAAATCCACCGACAGCTCTGCCCACTGAGGGCAGCCTGAGCACCATGCACTTAAGGCAGTTGCGAGGCCGTGCCCGTATCTACTGCTGACCGTAGCTGGCAATGGTAGTGGCCCAGGCAGGCGTTGCCACGGTGCACACGGGGTGGCAAGACGCGAGGGCACTGGCAGGTATTCGGCTTGTTGGTCCGGGACTGGCTTGCTCTGCAGGGCACGGCGGGCTATGCGTAAGAAATGCGTATGTAGCTCCGTGACAAGTTGCGCGCTCCGTTGGAGAGCAAGCTTGTACGTGTTCCATGCGGCGAAGAAATCAGCCGGGCGAGTTTCGTTGGCTCGATTGGCCGCTCTGTCTGCACACGCGTTATGGTATGCCGCCCATTCTTCTAGCGGGGATCTCCAGTCCCCTGGTGTGGGCAGCAACTTTGGTGATGCGGACATTTTCCGAGCCAAATGCAGCTATTAAACTGGCAAGGGGGAGCCAAAGGTCACTATCCTTACTATTGAGCGGGACGGTGCGGGCTCCGCCAAGGAGTTTCTGGACCCTCAACACGACACTAAGGCAATCAGACCAGATATGTACTGGCCGGGAGGAGCGCTGACCGATCAGCAAATCTTACTAGGCATATGTCTCAGCACGAGGGACTGACTGCAAATAATCAGACGCGTCACGGCAGTACTCCAAAGGTCCTCTGTGTCAGCGTGTGTGACAGCCCAGGCAGCATATCGGAGACGAGGCTCGGTGGGGCTGTGACACGGCTAGGCGGAAATGCTACCCCCTCAACTTCTGGCGGGTGTACTGCCCACCCTCGGTCATGGAGGCAATCGGGTTGGTCCGCCAAAGCTCTTGGCAGCCAGGCCGGGAGAGACTGGAGAATCGCTGCATTGCAGGGACATAGCCAGTGGCGATGGCGCAGATTATCGGGCTGGCCACACCTACTACACTCTGGCTGGACGTTGGGGTCAATACGGGCAAGGGCATCATTCGTATTGAATGTGCCATTGAGCACAACTCGGATTAAGGCTACGGCCAAGTAGGCTTGCCCGGGTCGTTCGGCATCGACCTGAGCGAGCAGCGAAACCTGCTCTGTTCTGGAAAGTCTTACCTACAAACTGCTCCCAAACTGCACACAGGCGGAGGTGGACTTCCTGCGGGGCTGCGGTTAGGAGGGATAACTCTCCTACCTGGTCACGGATGTGGCCGTGGGGCCCAACTTGGACACCGATCTCAGCAAACCGTGCGACAAGTACACTGCAAGGACCTGTGCGTGGCCCCTGATTACCGGCAGTCAACGTGAGCACTGAAAGGGCGTGGCTGTCGGCAAGTGCACGGAAATCAGAGAGTGTGACACTCAATGCGTGAAACTGCGGGTCTGCAGTTGGGTATTCAACCAGGCCTAAGTGGACATCTGGGCTGGTGCCGGATTTTCGGAGGCGCAAACCACGCAGGGCCCCTGTGCGTAACTGGGCATAGTGCTGCACTCCTAGATGGCAATTGGAGATGCCATGTAGGCCACGTGGCCATGCTGCTACACGGAGGGCACGGAGTTTATACGGGCTGCAACTGATGGCAAGCTGTGTCCAGAGGGGTTTCAGCCCCATTGATGCGGTCAACAAGGGTACGGTTGGTCCGTTGCAAGGAGTATTGCATGTGGGCCCCAAGGTCCCGATCTGACAACTTTGGGCGTAAGCCTGTACGAGCGGCCTGCTTGCGTGCCGGGCCGTTGTTGGCCCACACGAAAGATTTGGCAGCATCAAGCTGGAGGTCAAACGAATCTGCGAAGCTTTGGAGAGCGCGGTGGCCAGGCACGAGGCGAGCTGGCTGATGTGTGAGCAATTCCCAGTTGTCAACGTAGGAGAGGACACTGATCGCTGGCTGCTCTTGCTGCGTGTGGCTGGCGAGCACTTGGTTGATTAGCATCATGGCTAGGCAGCTCATGCCACAACCTTCTGCAAAACGTGTGCAACCCTGGAGCCCAGGGCTGGTCGAACCACGGATCCGGAAACGCCGGGACATGAGGGTGGTAGCTCCTGCCCACGCGCGGATCACCCCTCCGTCAATTCCAGCAGCAGCAGCTGCCGCGAAGACCGGGGTCCGGGGAAGGGTATTAAAGCACTTGGTGATGTCGGCGACAAGGCCGGCTATCGCACACCTATCAGCGCAGGCATGCTCAATACGGCTTTGGACACTCCACCAGAGGCTTGCAGCCCGTTTGCGGGGCGCGTTGCCGAAAATACCATCATCAAGAAAGGGCGCAAGCTGACTGATGCATTGTCGGGCTCTGATGCTGCCCCAAATTCTATATAGCAGGCTGAAGACTGTGATGGGCCGGTAGGCGGCCACACTGCTGGGGTCCG